GTATGCGGAGATGGAGTGTATGGCAAAGGGAGGGGAGGATCCATGCCCCATGCTCGCTTACAGCAGTACACTCAGGAAAGGAAAGCCCCAAAGAAGGAAGAATCCACACCTCAGACTTACTCACAGTGATACATCTAAGAGTGAAGAGGCGAATAACCCACCCAGCTCCTTGCAGAGTGGTACCTCAGGGTAACCCTTTGCTCTTTTAATTAACACTGGCGTTTACAGGCTAATTGCAAAAGTGTGAGTACTTTCACTTTAAGTATGTTAATTTCATGAAGATACTCTAAACTTGGCTGGACTTACTCCTATTACCTGAATATCCGCTGATATATTTGAATATCCCATATTTATTATTGCAATTTGATATATGTCTTTTATTGTTTGACCAATACTGCTACCGATATTTAGACACCTGTTTACACAGAGGGCGCGGCACCATATATTTATCTTGTTCCAATATACTTATATGAGAATGTAAAGAGGAGCCAGCGAACTCACTTTCTAGTAATATATAGCTTCACATTCTATACATATAATATATTTTTAGTGGCTCACAGGCAATTTCACTTTTTTTGTTTTATATACAATGATAGGCCCACTCCCTCCTCCTTTCCTCTATGGAAAGCTATGCCTCCTGGGATATGTGACGTATATTTCATTGGAGGCACAGCAGGCTGTGCCCACGTCATTCACCTAAGGTGAATGAAGTGCCTTGGGAGGTGGGGACAGACATTTTTCTCAAAAAAAAAAAGAAAAGAAAAAAAAAACCCCTCTCCAATCTGTGAGAGAGGGGTCAAATGGAGGGAAGTTGTGGAAGAGGCTGAAGGTCCACTTTAAAGTGTTACTAAACCCATAACAGTAAAATCAGTCTGTATAAGCAGTAAAGCATGCTTGTTATACTCACTGTGGAATCCTCTGCATTGTGTAAAAAGGCTGTTTGATCCTTTCTTCTCTGCCCCTCCTCTTGTTGAAATGACCACCTGATACAGACTGAATCAGTGGTCACATGCACATGCTCAGTTTGGTGTGTATTGTTAGAGGGGTTTTTTTTTTTCTTGGGAGGGTGCATGTGATCAGCACAGGGCCAATCAGCACTGTCCAGGCAGAGGGTCAGAGGTTTCACATCTTCCTAGAGCAGAAAGGAAACTCATCCTACAAGCTTTAACTAGTGCTCTACTGAAGTCACAAGACTGCTCTAACTGCTGATGAGAAAAGGTATTTAGCAGTTTATATTTACTAAAATAATTGCATTTCCATGTTCTGTGTAATGTGGGAGACCAGATATAGTGAATGCAGGGTCCTGGGTTTAGTATGACTTTAAGCATTTACAGCAACAGTTTTTTTTCCTTTTAGGGTAAAGATTTAATATAAATAAATAAAAGCTGACCATTTTAAGCACTCATGTCAAAATACTTATTGTCTCAACCATCTAACTGCTACAACTGCAGGACAGCTTGTTCTGTTGAAAAACAGACTTCCAGACTTCACCATGTGAAAATAAAAAAAAGAAAGCCTAAAAGAGAACCATTGCAGTCATCACATCTAAAAACTGGTAAGCTGCAATATAATAAATGTTTGCTTTTGGGTTTAATAACTCTGTATTTCCACTTCTGCCGTCAATTTTGGATAAAACCTGCTTCACATTTGTTACATGTTATTATTCACATAGCATAACGTAAAAAATATATTTTAAAACTGCAGCTTTTTTAAAATGCTCTCTCCTGGAAACTGCAGCAAATCCCATCTTTGCTTATGAGATGGATGGGAGATTATTATTATTATATAGTATTTATATATAGCGCCAAAGGGTTTGCTCAGCGCTGTACAATAGCAGGGGGACAGAACATGAGACAGGACAGAAACAATACAATACACGAGGGGTTCGAGGGCCCTGCTCTTTCGAGCTTACAATCTAGGAGGTGTGTTTTTCCATAATTAAAGGACTTCTGTGATCACACTTAAATTTTTTTTAACATCAACATTGTAATAGAAATACAAACAATAGCTATAGTTGACAATCTGATAAAAGCTTACTTAAAAACTTCCCGTTGTGATAGCTGCCTGTCTGCTAGCCATCTCTTGTCACAACGTCCGGGATTCCCTACAAGCTTTGCAGCTTCTGCTCTGCTTTTTACTTTTGATCTCTAAGGACTACATAACCCATGGTACCTTACTACCTACAAGCAGTGTTTCCTTCTTTAACTCCACCTTCTGAAACTCCTCCTCTCAGCACCTCTAGATCAGAAGGTCAGCTATGTGAATTCTGTGACACAGGAGTGCCTACTCACAGGACATAGTGAAGTAAAAGTGGGCATTCTCCACAAAGTCAGTTTACAAACTTGAAATCATTCAGATTAACAGGGAGTAAGCTTAATAGTGACACTGTACTGCTTGGCAGGGGTGCTCACTACTGACCCAATGCTGATCGCTGTGAGAGGAAATGGCTCAAAGGCTGCACCATACAGCCTTTGTTTACAGGTGTGATTGCTGTGATTGGTCACAGTGATCACATGGTACAGGGCCAGTGCTGCCAGCCCCTGATGACTTTTTTTTTACCGAAAAAAAAACATGGACAAGTTACTGTACAGAGAACATATTTACTGACAACCTGAAATATGACAGAAACTAATATAAGCTAAGACCAGCAATATTTCAAAGGTTGAATTCACCTTTAAAGGAAAAAAAAAATAAATGCACATATTTTTCCAGGAAAAAAATTATTATGCATTTATTGTTGTTTTCCCACAGAAACAGATCATAAAACTGCTGGGCCTGGACTCATAACTGGCAGCGGGGTGTGTGAATAGAAGCCACTCCCGATGTGCCACTATACGGGCATGCATCAGCCCACTGCCTGATATTAGGCCAAGCTGAGTAACTGACCCTTTGGCTGGCTCTGGAGCTGCTCATGCTCAAGAGGATTTTTTATGGACATTTTTCTCCTCTCTATGGACATTTACAAACAGGAGAAAAGTGCCTAATTTTTACACACTGTAATTTCACGGACAGTTAGATACACTGTGTCAGGGCTCCAGGGTATGACCAGAGGTATGTGAACTGACGCAGGGAAACGCAGGCTTCAGATAAGTTATAAACAATATAATTTATTAAAGACTAACAATACTAACATAAACGCAGTGCAATACTAAAACATAACACAGTGCAAACGAACCAAACCAAACCACCCACAGATAACAGTACATACAATGCAAGCGTCGTCAGGCAGGCCGGGGGTCAATAACAATCGGACAGGTAGGTACAGGGGGTCAGGCAGAGAATGGTCGGGGTCACAAGCCAGGGATAAAACAGGAGAAGTCAGCAGAGGTCCGGATCAGGCAGGGTCAGCAACGAATCAGACAGAGACAGGGACAGGAACAGGAACAGGGATGCAGGAACAAGATACAGGGCCCAGGAAAAACACACACCAAGGCAGAGACTGCAGGTCTGGCCATCCCTTAAATACACCTGCATAATCAACTTCAGGTGTTTGGCTGGCTGCAGGGTTGAGTCTCTGATTGCTGGGAGCACCCGCTGGCCAGCCCTGGTACTGCAGCCCACAAGGCAGGTGAGTCCCACCATTACTGGCAAGTCCATTCCTGACAGTACCCCCCCCCTCAAGGAGCGGCCTCAGGACGCTCCAAACAGTCCTAGCTGGGCAAAATGTTCCACCGCCCGGGTCTGGTAACTGGCGGGATATCAAAGACTGGCACATCGGGCAGGACTCCGAGCAGCGGCACACACAGGACTCCGGGCAGGACTCCGGGCAGGACTCCGGGCAGGGCACATCGGCAGGACTCCGGGCAGCAGACCGGGCACACTCGAGGGCAGGGCACTCCGGGCAGGGCAGAGGCACACCGGGCAGGACTCCGGGCAGAGGCACATCGGGCAGGGCAGGACTCCGGGCAGCGGCACACGGGCAGGACTCCGGGCAGCGGCAGGCTCCGGGCAGCGGCCACATCGGGCAGGGCACATCCGGCAGCAGAGGCACACATCGGGCTGGACACCGGGCAGAGGCACATCGGGCTGGACACCGGGCAGAGGCACATCGGGCTGGACACCGGGCAGAGGCACATCGGGCTGGACTCCGGGCAGAGGCACATCGGGCTGGACTCCGGACTCCGGGCAGAGGGCACATCGGGCTGGACTCCGGGGCAGAGGCACATCGGCGGGCAGAGGCAGGACTCCGGGCAGAGGCACATCTCCGGGCAGGACTCCGGGCAGAGGCACATCGGGCAGGACTCCGGGCAGAGGCACATCGGGCAGGGCACTCCAGAGGCACATCGGGCAGGACACCGGGCACACATCGGGCAGGACTCCGGGCAGCGGCACATCGGGCACACTCCGGGCAGGACTCCGGGCAGAGGCACATCGAGCTGGACTCCGGCAGAGGCACATCGAGCTGGACACCGGATCACCAGGCGGAGCAGCAGGCACCGGGCCACCAGGCGGAGCAGCAGGCACCGGGCCCCCCCAGGAGGGGCGATAGGCATCGGGCCCCCAGGAGGGGCGACAGGCATCGGGCCCCCAGGAGGGGCGACAGGCATCGGGCCCCCAGGCGGGGCAGCGGGCACCGGGCCCCCAGGCGGAGCGGTGGGCGCCGGGCCCCCAGGAGGGGCGACAGGCATCGGGCCCCCAGCAGGGGCGACAGGCATCGGGCCCCCAGGCGGAGCGACAGGCATCGGGCCCCCAGGCGGAGCGACAGGCATCGGGCCCCCAGGCGGGGCGGGCACAGGCATCGGGCCCCCAGGCGGAGCGGCGGGCGCCGGGCCCTCCTGCGGAGCGGCAGGCACCGGGCCCCCAGGAGGGGCGGCAGGCACCGGGCCCCCAGGAGGAGCGACGGGCGCTGGGCCCCCAGGCGGAGCGGCGGGCGCCGGGCCCCCAGGCGGAGCGGCGGGCACCGGGTCATCAGGCACGACAACGGGCATCGGGTCACCAGGCATCAGGTCATTTGGCTCGCCAGCGGGCACCGCGTCATCTGGCAAGGCAGTGGGCACCGAGTCACCAGGCACGACAGTGGGTTCCGAGTCAACTGGCATGACCACGGGCACTGGGTCAGACATTGGATCGTCTGGCTTGACAGCGGGCATCGGGTCACCAGGCATCAGGTCATTTGGCTCGCCAGCGGGCACCGCGTCATCTGGCAAGGCAGTGGGCACCGAGTCACCAGGCACTACAGTGGGCTCTGAGTCAATTGGCACGACAGCGGGCACCGGGTCATTAGGTACCGGATCGTCATCGACAGGGGCACCGGGTCATCTGGCGTGGATCGTCTGGCTCGACAGCAGGCATCGGGTCACCAGGCATGACAGCGGGCACTGGGTCACCAGGCATCAGGTCATTTGGCTTGCCAGCGTGCACCGCGTCATCTGGCAAGGCAGTGGGCACCGAGTCACCAGGCACGACAGTGGGCTCCGAGTCAACTGGCATGACCGCGGGCACTGGGTCAGACATTGGATCGTCTGGCCCGACAGCGGGCATCGGGTCACCAGGCATGACAGCGGGCACTGGGTCATCAGGCATGGGATTGTCTGGCTCGACAGCGGGCATCAGGTCACCAGGTATGACAGCGGGCACTGGGTCACCAGGCATCAGGTCATTTGGCTCGCCAGCGGGCACCGCGTCATCTGGCAAGGCAGTGGGCACCGAGTCACCAGGCACGACAGTGGGCTCCGAGTCAACTGGCATGACCGTGGGCACTGGGTCAGACATTGGATCGTCTGGCCCGACAGCGGGCATCGGGTCACCAGGCATGACAGCGGGCACTGGGTCATCAGGCATTGGATCATCTGGCTCGACAGCGGGCATCGGGTCACCAGGCATGACAGTGGGTACTGGGTCATCAGGTACCGGATCGTCTGGATCGACAGCGGGCATCGAGTCAACTGGCCTAATGGAATCATCAGGCTGGATCAGTTCATCAGGCTAGGTAGAAACATCATGCTGGGTAGAGGCATCAGGCTGAATGGAGGCATCAGGCTGGGTAGAGGCATCAGGCTGGGTAGAGGCATCAGGCTGGGTGGAGGCATCAGGCTGGGTGGAGGCATCAGGCTGGGTGGAGGCATCAGGCTGGGTAGAGGCATCAGGCTGGGTAGAAGCATCAGGCTGAATTGTGGGCGCCGAGGCACCAGGCTGCACCACGGAAGGCAGGTTCTCAGATGGGAGGCTGACCGGTTTGGATACTGGCAGGATGGTATTGGTTGGAAAGAACTTTCGCCTTTTCCTGGTTTTAGTTACCGGAGCACCGTAAGTAAGCGCAGGTTTGTAAACGGATGGAGCAGCTGGAGACAGAGAAGAGCTGGAGGATGGAACAGGGGAGGGAACAGTTGCTACAGAGGGCTTCTTTACAGGGTTAAAGGCAGGATAGGTGCAGCGAGTGGGAACAGGGTACTGACATATGGTAGATAGCAGGGTATACTGGGCTGTAACTGCAGGTGCTGTTGGGAATGCAGGAATAGAGCTTTGAAGAAATAGATTAGAAGCAGGACTGGATTTTTGCAAGCTGACTGAGGTTGGGTGCAACAAGTCTGACCATGTCTGCAGTATGGGTTGAACAAAGCTCAGCTTAAACAAAGCCTGTCTGACCAAAGACTGCACTGCGTTTATACAATCTCTTAGTACCTGTTGTGAACATGCAGAATAACGCTCCAGAAAGTAATCCACATCATCCTCTAATAACCATACCAGGGACTCATTCATCCCTGCATTCGGGGGGTACCAGATGAAACCAACTCAGCACAAACCTGAATCAATGGCTGCACCTCAGAGAACTCTGTGCCCTGATCTACTAGGCAATGAGCGATCCGTATACATTCTAGCAGTTCATCCCTGGGATACTCCTTCAGAGTTTGATAAGCATACTCTCTGTCATCAAACACTAGCAGAGATAAATACACAACCTCATCAAGATCCATCCTTCCCAGCAACAAGCCAAGATGGCTTCCCTGTGCAGCCACTTCTGGTCAGGATTGGCCTTGGTGTAATGTCAGGGCTCCAGGGTATGACCAGAGGTGTGTGAACTGACGCAGGGAAACGCAGGCTTCAGATAAGTTATAAACAATATAATTTATTAAAGACTAACAATACTAACAGAAACGCAGTGCAATACTAAAACATAACACAGTGCAAACGAACCAAACCAAACCACCCACAGATAACAGTACATACAATGCAAGCGTCGTCAGGCAGGCCGGGTCAATAACAATCGGGCAGGTAGGTACAGGGGGTCAGGCAGAGAATGGTCGGGGTCACAAGCCAGGGATAAAACAGGAGAAGTCAGCAGAGGTCCGGATCAGGCAGGGTCAGCAACGAATCAGACAGGAACAGGAACAGGGATGCAGGAACAAGATACAGGGCCCAGGAAAAACACACACCAAGGCAGAGACTGCAGGTCTGGCCATCCCTTAAATACACCTGCATAATCAACTTCAGGTGTTTGGCTGGCTGCAGGGTTGAGTCTCTGATTGCTGGGAGCACCCGCTGGCCAGCCCTGGTACTGCAGCCCACAAGGCAGGTGAGTCCCACCATTACTGGCAAGAACCATTCCTGACACACTGTACAAGGGCAATTTTCATGGTGATCTAGAAGTCACACGCAAGTGGCCGATGCAGGAGGATATACCCACATTGATGAAGCTCCTGTTCAACCGTATATGTACAATGGCTGGACAGGAAACCGTTAAAATTTATGTATACTGTATGAGTGGGAACACAGAACAACATACACTCACCAGCCACTTTAGTAGGTACACCTGTTCAATTGCTTGGTAACACAAATTGCTAATCAACCAATCATATGGCAGCAACTCAATGCATTTAGGCACCTAGAAGTGGTGAAGATGACTTGCTGAAGTTCAAACTGTGCATCAGAATGGGAAAGAAGGGGGATTTAAGTGACTTTGAACGTGGCATGGTGGTTGGTGCCAGACGGGCTGGTTTCAGTATTTCAAAAAACTGCTGATCTACTGGGATTTTCATGCACAACCATCTCTAGGGTTTACAGAGAATGGTCCATTACAACCAAGGTATGCAGAATACCATCTCTGAACACACAACACGTCGAACCTTAAAGCAGATGGGATGCAGCAGCAGACAACACTCCTGTCAGCTAAGAACAGGAAACAGGCTACAATTTGCATAGGATCACCAAAATTGTACAATAGAAGACTGGAAAAACTTTGCCTGGTCTGATTAGCCTCAGATGGCAGGGTCAGAATTTGGCGTAAACGTGAAAGCATGGATCCAATCAGCCTTGTATCAACGGTCCATGGATGTCCAGCAGACAAATCTGCAGCAACTGTGTAATGCTATTATGTTAATATGGACCAAAATCTCTAAAGAATGTTGAATCTATGACATGAAGAATTAAGGCAGTTCTGAAGGTAAAAGGGGGTCCAACCCGGTAATAGTAAGGTGTACCTAATAAAGTGGCAGGTGGGTGTATACTGGTATCAAATTTGATTGCAAAAGTAGAAATATACTTTAAAGTGGCTGCAAAAACAAACTCTTTTGGTTTAAATAGAGTAGGGAATGGTTAAAACCCATCAGCTTTTTTTTTGTTTGCTTTTCTGACTGAATCCCATTGGAGATATTTTCCTTCACCTTTTGTCCCAGTGGGATGTGAGTGGCAATATTCCCTCTTAGGCACTGGTCCCCAGAACCAGAAGTATTCTGAAGTATTCATTTAAGGTACTGAACACAGCGGTCCCCAGGACTAATAGTGGGGTTGAATCTCCCAGAGGGTGATGTCACGATTGGGCTACTCAGCATTTCCCTTGATCTCCAACTCACATTACCCTCTGCAACAAAGAAGACCAGGGAAAGGTAAGGGTATTTATTAACTACCTTTTTTTCTTTATAGCAGCTTTTTTGCATGGGGATTGAAAAAGTAAATGAACACCCCTTGTTTGTAGTCCAAGGTCTGCTTTACATCACACCTATTTGGATTTCTAAAAAATTGAACCATTCTTGCTTTAATGTTTCTTTCAAGAACTCATCTTTTTAGTGTGATATAAATTCTCTTATTTTTGCATTTCAAAAACGTAACTGCTTATTTATTTTGTTCCCATAGCTAATTATTCTGGGTATCTCATTGAAAAAGAATTTGGAAATTCTTAAGATTGTCACAAAACAACATCCGATTGTTAATTATACATTGGCAGCTGCTATGAAATTAATATTGTAAAGTTGCATTGAGAACCCCCAAACATTGGACTGTAATTATGCCTTTACAATCCTATTGTGTATTTGAAACGCTAGATAATATATTTAGTAACTTTATAGAAAAACATGGTGTGGCAGTTGTGAAGAATGTGAGTTGATAAAAGGGACACATAAGTTAGGTACTTTTGTATTGATTTTATTTTTATTGTAAATTGTTGTTTATTGTGTCTTCATCAATGAAAGACTATGAGACCATATCATATTTGGTTTGATATTGATGTAATAAAACAAAAAAAAAAAAATTATTTCATCTATAAACTAAGCTTTCTTTGAGTCTTCATTGGGGAAATATTGGTATTATTTTGGCACATGCTTAATGCTTACATTTATTTTGTTGCAGAAGTGTTTTGGAAATTGGTACTCTCCCATGAAGGCTGCAGCTGCCAATCATATATTGACTGTACTTTTACAGACTTGGATAGCATGTTCTTTGTTCAGCTGGCTCTGAATCTTGGATGCAGATGCTGCTCTGTTTCATACTTAAATTAGCTTGATATACAGATCTTTAGATGCTGTGGCTACTTTAGATCTGCTTGATCTCGCTCTGGATAAAACAGTCCCCTTAGAAACTTGCAGCTTATTTGTGGTATGTCCCTGGAATAGTTTGTAGCAATCGGCACAGTTTTACTTCAAACTGCTTCATTAGGCTTTTGACATTATTATTATAAATAGTGGGAAAATATCTTTCAATATTTTCAGGGCTCAATCACACCAGCCCCCACACTAAAACACATGTGGTGCAGTGATTTGCGCTGCATAAAAATGCAGCATGTCTACATTTTTAAACAATGAACCCCCACCCATCTCAACCCAGCTTTATGATGTGAACAGCATGTAAGGTCTGTTGGGGGTAGGCCAGTGACACTCTCTCCATGTTCCCCTCCTTGTTGGGCACCAAGTCTGGGTCACATGAGAGGTCTACCCTGAGGTGAGTTCTTCTGGGCTACGCTAGGCACAGGGTCACTCACCTTGCACATGGGGTACCTTTACTTGTGCTGTACTCCGTGTACACTTAAACAATAAAACTGGACTCCAGTTAACTCTCTTGTCCCTGGGTCAACGTACACCTTCACTGTCACTTGTAGCATTTAGGAGGGACATGATGAGCCAATGCCCACTCTACCTATCCAGCGTATCTCCACGACCTCACTACCAGTAACGGAATGGGGCCCCACCAAGTATCTAGGGGGATCCATACCTGCTCTGTATTAACTCTTCCTCTTCTATACCTGTGCACAGGCAGGGGACCTACAGTGCTGATCTGCCCCCGTTGGTATGGGAGACAAGCCACTCATGGAGAGAGTGCCAACAACAACTCCCTCACTGCAAGATGCTATCCCACCTGTCACAGGCACATGCTTTACAACGGGCTACTTGGTAAACCTCTGTTACCCTTGGTAACCACAACCACTTGTTGTCTTTATACCCCAGTGTGATTTACTGACAGGCTGTAGACTATGTGTGGTGCCTTTTACTTGCGTTACACCTCTTTAGTAACTTCAGACCAGACAAATACAACGTTTAAAAAGCCTTACTGAAAAAACTTGGTCAGTACAGATAACATTGGTAACAGTCTTCCCCCAACATCCCTAGTCTCTAACTCGCTACCTCAGCATACCTGCACAGGATAAGAGTCCCTTCATGGCAGAGTCCATAGGGGCAGAATCCAGATGTTGGTGTCTTCAGTGTGGTCTGCAAGTCCCAGAAATCCCCTTACATGGTGGATGTGACAGCAGTCAGGCTTGCTCTCCGAGGTGGAACTGCTCCCCCTTCTCTCTTCTCTGTAAG